TTGCTGTTCATAAGTGCAGCGCTGCTTTGTTTACAGCGGAAACCAAGGAAACGCTTTAAGCGCCACCTGCTGGCAGAGAGTGAATCTGCGACTCGTTCAGCTCGTCTGCTGTTTCTGTTTCATGCAGATATTTTTTATGTATAGTTTTACAAAACTGAAGTCAAACCATTCTGTTTTTGCTTCAAATTTCGAAATTATACAATCTAATTTAGTTTAAAAACTGCTCATTGTTGCATGTATGCAGCATTTTTGTTTGGATCATGATTAAAATGCAGTGGTTGCCTCTAATTTTAAAAGGAAAGAGCACAGACAAAGCCTTATTTTGTTTATATGAAGAGATTTTATTTGTGTTACTTATTTATTTGATTTGGGGCTTGTTTTAAAATTTCAATTTAGTTTTGTTATTTATATTTACATTATATTTAAATTTTGTCATTTAGCAGACGCTTTTATCCAAAGCGACTTACAAATGAGGAGAATAGAAGCAATCAAAACCAACAAAAGAGCAATAATATGCAAGTGCTATATTAGTATATTATTATAGTGTTATATTTCAATTTCACAAAGAAACGTTCAGTATTTTGTCCAAGCAATAATAAAAGGACACATTTCATTTATATTTTTTCTTAAATCTCATTTTGTTAAAACAAATCGTGAATCGAATCGTGACTTGAGTGAATCGTTCCATCCCTACTATTCATAAAATAGCTGACCTCATATGTTTGTGTTTGTGTGTGTTTTGTAGGTGTTTTAGGTGCTGCCGAATGCTCATGTGGAAGAAATCACTTCACATGTGCGGTCAGTGCGTTTGGCGAGTGCACGTGCATCCCGGCGCAGTGGCAGTGTGATGGTGACAATGACTGCGGAGATCACAGCGATGAAGACGGATGCAGTGAGTCTCTAAACACACTCCTTCATGAGAATGCAATCCCATCATACTGATGCACAAACTATTTGTTTACTCATTCTAAGATGATTTGTTCTAAGGGAAAATTATTAGTTAGTCCTCTGCTGAAACCCTTGTCTACAAAAGTTATTTTGAATGGTAGTGTACAGTATATGTATATGTATGCTGGAGTATCCTTTTTTCAATTGTTACAGTATTGAGCACACTTCACATGCGTTTTCCATTGTCAAGCGGGTTCGCAGTTGAAACATTTGGAAATCTCTCTCAAGCGCTGTAGAGTTTGTGAGGGGTTTCACACTCCATAAAACAGTAACGTGATTCTTTAGAGAACAAAAAAAGACTGGATGAAGTGAGAATTTATCTACAGTCAATTGAAATTGATTGTACATCATTTACATGCACTTTAAAAGTCGATTTTAGTCAGACTACAGCCATCATTTGTCTTTATAAAATGTCATGTAAATGCTTTAGCCTGACAGAAAATCCTTTCAGACTAACAGACCTATATAATGCAATTGCAGCACAGCTTTGTCTAGCATGTAAATGCAATTCTTGTGAAAAAGACATTTTAGCATACTTAGACGCTTTAGTGTACTTTAAAAAAAAAAAGTACAATAAAATTAAGCATATATTTTGGATGCTTATTTACATTTTGATTTCAATTAAATTATTTTTTAATAGTTTTTTTTATAGTTTTTTTTTTTTAACTAGGACTTAAGTACATCTTTATACGTAATTTCATAATTACTTCTATTGTCTTTGAAATATTGTTAAAGTGCTGCTGAATGTACTGACAAGTATTTATGGTAAAATAAAATGTAAAATATAATGATGAAGTTGCAACTTAATACATTTAAAATATCTTATCTTTAAATGTAATATTGAATAATCAAGTACTTTATAATCAAGTACTTTACGTGTGCTTTATTTTAATCAACACATCAAAATAAGTGTACTTAAAGCACGACTAAAGATTATTAAAACTTATTAAAAATGAAACAAACAACTTTTACAATCAGTTTTAAAGAAACATTAAAAAAGTGTACTCTAAATATACTTAAGTGTCCTTTTATTGTATTAATATTATTTTATCTGCAAAAACATTTTTTAAACTATAATTTTAAAATTTTTTTAATTTAAGTGCTCATTCAATAAAATTAATACATTTTAATATATTAATTTTTTATTTGATTATATTTGTAATATATTAATGTTATTTTTATTGAAACTTGTATGTCATTTAAATATATTTGAAATTGCACATTTGTAATGAAGTTGCAATTCAGTACATTTAAAATACATTATAATCAAGTACTTTACATGTGCTTTAATGTCAGTCAACACATTAAAATAAGTGTACTACTTCAAAGCATGACTCAAGATTATTAAAACAATGATTTAAAATGTATTTTAAAGTAAAACTTAATTTGACATTATTACAAAGTGCAATTTTTAAAAGTGTGCTTAAGTGACAAAGAGACACTTTCATGACTATGTTTCTTATTTCAGTAATAGTATATAATCTGCAAATATAGTTTTTTTTATATATACTTTTAACATTTGAAGTACACACATTCAGGACAATTAAGCGCTCCTCTTTTTCACAAGGAATTGGTGACCTGCGTTCACAGTGTGGTAAAAAAGGGGTTCAGGAATTTCCTGGCTGTGTATCCGGAGATTCAGGATGCCTCCAACATCCTTCTACAGCGGCACAATAGAAAGCATCTTTTTTGCCTCACAAAGGGCACCTGATGGGACTGTATGACCCTGTGGAGGGTGATGTGCTCAGCTGAGCGTATCCACCCCTACAGGGCCATACAGAAGACACTTAATCCAGGAGGTGCAGAACAAGCACCAGGAAGATCATTAAGGACAGTCGCCACCCTAACAATGGCCTTTTCTCAATGCTGCGATCAGACAAACTCTAGCGTAGCCTGAGGACACAGAAAGACTCAGGAGGAGTTTCTTCCTCCAAACTTCCATCAATTCTTATAATCCATTACAGCGTACAAAACAGTCATCGCAAAAAGGCAGCAGCTGCGCTTGTATGAAACGAGAGAGCGAGTCCGCGATATCAGGATGACATAAATAATTGTACACATAATATTGAATTGAGTTTTAATATTTTATTAGCTAACCAAACGTAAAGCTTCCACAAAGAAAAACTGTTCCTAGCAAGCGTATAGCGCCGACTTCAGTTACCCGGATGAGCCTGTGTTATCCGCTTTTAGCAGTTGTTATCGAGGTATAACAGACCTCGGAATGTCGCGACTGACCAATCAGAATCAAGTATTCCACAGAGCCGTGGAATAATACACTATATTACATAGTATTATACTTTAATCAAATAACAATGCCGACTACTATTTTAATCTTTATAATAATAATTATAAGTGTGTTTTTATAATAATAAAATATAGCATTAAAATAATTGCATGATTTTATTTATCTTTCAAAATGTCAAAAGTTGAAGTTATTTGTTGTCTTTTTAAAAATTGGTTAATTTCCTCCATTCCTTCAGTATTGCCCACATGCTCACCGTTAGACTTTCACTGCGATAATGGAAAATGCATCCGGCGCTCGTGGTTATGCGATGGAGACAACGACTGTGAGGATGACTCCGATGAACAAGACTGTCGTAAGTAAACTTGTGCATTTTTTTGTCTTGTAGTTTAAAGATGAAAAACATGTTTGTTTTGTTGTTTCTTTCTGATGCAGTGAAGCTGTGCTGAAATGCAATTCTCTTTCACATTTTGAACAGTTCAGGTATATTTAATTTATTTAAAATAGCATGTTTAAGAATAGTGTTTTTAGGTAGCTTGTACAGAATGCTAGTCCAAGAGCAGGAAAACACGGGGGGAAAAAATTCAGTCGTTATTTAGTAACAAAAGGAAAACATCTGACAAATGCTTATTCTTGTAGATAGTGACCATCTTTTCAAGCTACAAAATGATTTTTTTAAGACTCATGCTGCATGTTCTAGTGTTCTGAAAGCATACGATAGGGTTTGGTGAGAAACAAACTGCAATGTCATATATTATTTAGTGAAAATCTTGACCTCGGAAGTTGTCTACATTCATGAGTGCATGAGAGCAGCAGCTCTATCATAAAATAATTATGCTATCATTATTTGATGACACCTTTCGCATTGGTTTGAAGCTCAAAGATGGTCATTATTGACTGCCACTATGACAAGAGCAAGCAGGAGATGCAAGCATGTATCTCAAATCCAGGTGGTTGTACATCTTATTACGTGGCGTGTATTATTAATGGACCCTTAAAGGGATGGTTCACCCAAAAATGGAAAATTTGTTATCATTCACTCACCCTCCAACACAAAAGAAGATATTTTGAAGAATGTTGGAAACCAAACAGTTACTGGTAGTCATTGACTTCCATACATATATTATTTTTTCCATACTGTGGAAGTCGATGGCTACCAGCAACTTTTTGGTTTCCAACATTCTTCAAAATATCTTCTTTTGTGTTCAACAGAAGAATGAAACTCATGCAGGTTCGGAACAACATGAGGGTGAGTAAATGAGGACAGAATTTTCATTTTTGGATGAACTGTCCTTTTAATAGAGGTAAAATGTTCTGAGAATACTTAAATGTTAGACTGACTTGTAAACGGACAACAGCACGGTTTTTGACGACCTTAAAGGAAAGAGAGGTCCACACAGGAGAAATGTCTTGTCTTTTCTGAGAGTCCTTAACTGTAATCAGGTCTGAATGAATTAAAAGCTTGTATAACAGTTTCCAGATCCTTGAATGACAAAATTGGCTTCACTTTATAGTAGTGTTGTCACGGTACCAAAATTTCAGTATTCGGTACCAATACCAGTGAAAATCCACGGTTCTCGGTACCAATTTCGGTACCAAAGCAAAACACAAAAACATGCTAATTAAAAAATTTGACTATACTTTCATTTAATCAAAACTGTGTACATATTTAATTTTAAAGGGCTTTTAAAACCTTCTAGAGTTATTCAGCCAAGTATAACAACTAAGTTAGCCAAAAAAAATATATATATATCAGCTTTTCTGACTGATATGACACAAACAATGTTAACCATTTGTACATTCTCTAACACGCATATTTTAGATTCACAATTCATTTAAAAGCCTCTGGTGTGTAAAAATAGTAAATATCATCATGTCCTCCTGTTTTTTTTTTACCATTATAAAAGTAATAGGAGCATGAAATAGTTAATAAAGAAACTTAATTCTAATGCTCATTATATTAGCGCTAGCCGCGTTTATGCTAACGATTAACTACTCTAATAACAGCGATGTTCATTTCAATCCGACATTCAAATTAAAATATTGAATAATATTCATAATAGAAGCTGTGTTTCCCACAGACTTGCAGTCTTACAGTCAGTCTCCTTCAGAAATACAGTGATATATAAACACTCGCACCGGGTTTCGACTTTGACACGTGCAGTGCTCATGTTTATTCAACGAAGTCAAAGCCTTTTGGAAAATCTATTTGTGGCGGTGAGTTTTGATATTGTGGCGGGCGCCTCAAATAAATCAATGTATGGGATGAAATGAAACTTACCTGCTTGAACTCTTTCATTTGATCCGGGTGTCTGTCTTTAAAGTGTTTTGTTAGTTTGGTGTGTTTCCTCGTTTTGATGTCGCCACGTCTCAGTGCTTTTATGAAGAGAGCGCATCTGCGCACCTTTCGGACAGCGCATCAAGAACCGGGTTGACCGGGTACTCGGTACCACCGGTACTTAAAAAATCCTGGTACCGTAACGTTTTCATTTTTTTAGTACCGACTTGGTACCGAAGTACCGGGTCTTTTGACAACACTACTTTATAGTCATAAGTCGTAATCAGACCATAGATTAGATTTATCAAATTTTAGTTCTGATTCAAAAATGACTCTCACATTTTTTGCTTTGTTCACATAAATTAGAGGAAACATATCCCACACTTACTGTATTTTATATAATAGCTAAATATCCGAAAGACTGCAAATAAAGCAACTCCAGCTAAATGAGTAAAATACACACATCTAAACATATTTGCTAGGGTCACACCTGCCAATGATGGGATTAAGTTTACTGACCATAAATATTTGTTACTGGCCATAAAACCTCATTTTGCATTTGTTAGTAATATATATATATATATTAAATATGTGCTAGTCAGAGGTTGCTGTTTGGACTGAGTTATGCATTTTCTGTCATACTTATTTTTGAACTGAAAACTGGGAATCCTTTTCCTAATTTGGACATCCAAAAATTGCTTGTAAATCTCTTATGCTATATTATCACCAAATATTGGATTCAATCTTTTTGTCAACTTGTTTTCTCATTGATTTCTCATTGGCCTCAATGATCTGAGCTTCTACACTTTAAAGGGGTCATATGATGCTATCAAGCCGCGGTTAAGACAGCTGACGTGCTATGATTTCTGACAGGCAGTTCACTCTCCTGTGATGTGACCCTGTTCCCCTCACACACACACACGACGTGTTACTCTGCGCTGCGCAAAACTCTGCATTTGAACAGTCAATAGCAAATACTTAAACTAATAACAAAACATACTTACAGTCGCTGATTCAGAAGCGCCAGATTGTCATAGCAAAGTCGGAATTGACACTTTTTTAAATAGCCTTTGTGCACAGCCAGCCTTGCACAAATTCGAACATCTGGGTTGTGCTGTTCTGTTGTAAATAAATCTTAACCAATGATTCCTAAATGCATCTACTTCCGGAAGGCCAAATAAAGTGCTTTTGCTTTCGCACTGAAACACAGCGTCTCCCTGACATGGCTGCATCAACACGACGTACACGATGAAACCATGCCTTCTTTCTTTGCATGCACATTTGGGCGGCATTATGCTAATATTTCCACATAGTGAGGTAGATATGTGGGGACGTGTTAGAACGAGCCGTTTTAGGAGGGCGTGGCTGACTCTTAACTTTTATAAAGAATATCTCTTTGGATTTGAGACTTTAGTCTTTGCAACTTTACAGATCTTCTTTATGCACCAAGAGCTTGTAACACTCCAAAGAGAAAGGAAAACTTTAAATCGCATCATATGACCCCTTTAATGTTTGAGTGAAAAATCATTATTTGTGCATATTTTTTGGGCAATATTCACTCCAAAAACTGAGGAGCATAAGCTCAGGTCAATGAGGCCTACGATCAGTCAGGTAAAAAAATAAATAAATACATGCATAAATAAAAATATAATTTAGAACATTTTGGGGAAACTGTTATACCCTCTGTGAGCAAAATCAGTACGTTTTAGTCATTAGCTAGCATTTTTTAGGAAAAAGAAAACCCTCTCTAGGTCAAAATGACCAGAACACAAAATGAGGATTCAATATTTGACCTGCACTTTATTCTCTTCCTTCACGTCTAATCCATTTTAGCATCCCTTGCCAAAGTTAATAAATGTCTTATTTTGTAAGCTGTAAGTTGTATATGGAATTTGTTTCATAGCAATCCTTACCATTGTAAGACATTTTAATGCTGTAGAGGAGCAGTATGTGTGTCTGTGAGGTAGTGAGAGGAAAACAGAAGCAACAATAATCTTTGCATCTGACCCATATTTCTCAGCGCTGTACTCTTGAGGCTCGTCTCTTGATGGGGGGTCTGTCTGCCATAAGCTTTCCATGAATTTTTCATTCTTTTCCACCACACTGCCTCATCTCTTACACTCAACATCTCTCTTTCTGCTTCTGTCTGTCCTTTTGGTTTATATTATCAGTTAATATATCAGTAGCGTGATAATTCACGCTTCCTCTGTGAATTTTTTTTATGTGACCATATGCATTTTACTACAAAGGAACGGTCAAAACAAGATGCACCTTTTAATGGGCAATATTATAATATTGGACAAAAGTACAGTATAAAAAATGAAAAGAAAAAAAAAATGCATGAAGATTATGTAAAATACTGTAAAATACAGTATCATCATGTAAAATACTGTATTATAAAATGTGAGGTATCAGGAAAAAGCATTGGAAAAAGTGTGAGGGAGTTAATTCGCTCTTTGCTTTTCCAGTTTGAGAAATATGTTTTGTGCATACAGTGGGTAAAAGTGCGGTGGTGCAGAAATACGTGTTTGTGTGTGTGTGTGTGTACCTGTTTTTCTATTCTGGTGGGGACTTAAACCTGAATACACACAGACTCATGGGGACTCGTGTCATGGTGGGGACCTAAATTGAGCTAATTTTCTGTAAACAAGCTAATAAATCACACAGAAGGAAGTTTTTTGAAAATCTAAAAACAAACAAAGTTTCCTGTAAGGGGTAGGTTTAGGTGTAGGGTTGGTGTAGAGCGATAGAAAATACGGTCTGTACAGTAGAAAAACCATTATGCCTATGGAGAGTCCCCACAAGGATAGCAAACCAGACGTGTGAGTGAGTGAGTCTGGCACGGCGGGTGGTGTAAATACAAGCAGCATCACATTTAATGCTGCTGTTCTGGAGTCCCTTACCAGTCTCAATAAAATGCTTTGAGCGCCACCAATGCACTGGATTGTGTCGCTGCAGTGTGTTGCTAGCTTTTTCTGTAGCACTGCTTGAAAATGTATACATGAAAATGCATAGATAATATATTCCTGAACTCTCAAACCTTTAAGGAACAGTTCATCCAAAAATGAACATTTGCTGAAAATCTACTCACCCTCAGATAATCCAAGATGTAGATGAGTTTGTTTCTTCATCAGGTTTGTAGAAATGTAGCACTGCATCAGTGTCTCAGCAATGGATGCTCTGCAGTGAATGGGTGCCGTCAGAATGAGAGTCCAAACAGCTGATAAAAACATCACAATAATCCACACCACGTCTTGTGAAGAGAAAAGCTGTGTTTGCAAGAAACAAGTCCATCATTAAGACGTTTAAGCCATCACAAAAATACGAGTCCTCTATCTATAATATTAAAGTTCTCTATGTATAATAACACTTCCTCCAGTGAAAAAGTCCATCTCTTGTTGTCCTCTGTCATCAAAATCCAGCCACATATTTGTTTAGATATGCTGTGGACCATTTTCACTTGTAAACAGTGTTTGATCTGTGCAGATTTCTCTCCTGATTCAGATGAGATTACTTGTTTACTGAAGCAAGGTAAATTATGGATAGAGGAGTCGTATTTTAGCCAAAAGCAATGGTTTGAAGTTAAAAGTCTTAATGATGGATTTGTTTCAGCTTTTCTCTTCATAAGACATTAACTGATGTACTGGAGTGGTGTGGATTATTGTGATGTTTTTATCAGCTGTTTGGACTCTCATTCTGACGGCACCCATTCACTGCAGAGCATCCATTGCTGAGACACTGATGCAATGCTACATTTCTCCAAATCTGATGAAGAAACAAACTCATCTGCATCTTGAATGGCCTGAGGGTGAGAACATCAGCAAATTTTATTTTTTAGGTGAACTATTCTTTTAAACTTTGTGTTTTGTGAAAGCGTTTAATCTGTTTTAACCCATTTCTTTGCAACATCTGTATGATTTTTGTTTTTGAGCAGCTCCACGAGAATGCGAGGAAGATGAGTTTCATTGTCAAAATGGATACTGTATCCGCAGCCTGTGGTACTGTGATGGAGACAATGACTGTGGAGATAACAGTGACGAGCAGTGCGGTGAGATCATTTAGATGTGTGTGTATATATATATATATATATATAGTTCTTTCAGGATAATTTAAGGTTCAATAGGTGTGGAAACCTGGTCTCGGCACGCCTTACATGTTGGAGGTGTTGCACTCTAATCAATCACAACAAACAGGTCATTATTTTATTGTAACTCTGATCAGCTGGTCTTAGTCACGGACCTGCCAGGGCACAGTGAGAGCAGCAATATAGAGCAAAACAAAAAGAATAAAACCGAACAGACAAGGCATTGCAAAATGTTTAGCATGTGCCCTTCAATGTAAAACCACACCCTGTAAAACGCCCTATGATGTAAAATGACAAATAATGTCCTGAATCCCTTTGTGGAAAAAATTAAAATATAAATTTTATTGAAAATTTTTTTTTATTGAATGTGCATTTCAAAATGTAAAATGTAAAATGACAAATAATGTCCTGAATCCCTTTGTGGAAAAAATAAAAATATAAATTTTATTGAAAATTTTTTTTTATTGAATGTGCATTTCAAAATGTAAAAAGTATAGTTAAAAATGTTTTTGCAGGTAATATAATATTAATAAAATAAAAGGACACTTAAGTATATTTAGAGTACACTTTTTGAATGTTTTTTAAAAAGTGATTGTAAAAGTTTTTCATTTTTAATAAGTTTTAATAATCTTTAGTCGTGCTTAAAGAAGTACACTTATTTGATGTGTTGACTAAAATAAAGCACATGTAAAGTACTTGATTATAAAGTACTTGATTATTCAATATTACATTTAAAGATAATATATTTTAAATGTATGAAGTTGCAACTTCATCATTATATTTCACATTTTATTTTACCATAAATGCTTGTCAGTACATTCAGCAGTACTTTAACCATATTTCAAAGACAACAGAAGTAATTATAAAATTACATATGAAGATGTACTGAAGTCCTACTAAAGTAAATGGGTCCAGCTAATTGCATTTGTTATGCATTTAAACTGTAATACATTTTCATTCAATTGCTCTTAACATCCAATTATGTGTCTGAAAACATTACATGCATGCTCACAGTTATATCTTACAGTACTATTTAAATAGTATTTTTTGCACATAAGTGAAATACAATCATGAATCCATTGGATCATTTGGTGCCCTAGGCAAGATCAGACATATCTTATGCACTACAATTCAAAAGTTTGGAATCACTATGGCATTTTTGTTTTTATGAAAGAAACTGACACTTACCAAGTTACATTTATAATGTTACAAATGCCTATTTTGATTTTAATTAAATGCATTATTTTTCAAACTGTTCATTAAAGATTCCTGCACTTGCAGCAATGACATCGTTGCAGACCTTATGCTTGCTAGCCATCAGTTTATAAAAATATTCAGATGAAGTTTACAACACAAGGATGTCTAATCAGTTCATCAAGGTCTGCATCTGCTTTTGTACCATTTAAAAAAAAAAATTTCAGATGGTGTGGAATTGGGGTTTATTTGTTCATTTTAAATGTCTGACAAGTTTGACCGAAATTTTCTGCCAAGCAATCTTGATCCCACCACCAGTAAATAAGATGAATAGATTTTTCACACTCCAAGAATCTCAAGCCCTTTTTGTGCTTGTATGTGTGTCCAGATAAGAGGAAGTGCTCTGATAAAGAGTTCCGCTGCTCTGATGGAAGCTGCATTGCAGAACACTGGTACTGTGATGGAGACACGGACTGCAAAGATGGAACCGATGAAGAGAATTGTCGTAAGTTGAGTTTGTGTTTCAGTGCACTTGTTTGTCAAATCAACATCTCTACTTCTATCCATTCAGCCATGCATCCATCAATCATGCATCCATATTTTCATCTATCCATCCAAGCATCTATCCATTATGCATCCATGTTTCCATCTATCCGTTCATGCATCCATAATCCATCCATCCATCATGCATCCATGTTTCTATCCATCCATGCATCCATTCATCATGCTTCCATTATGCATCCATCCATCTCTCCATTCATGCATACGTCAATCATGCATCCGTCAATCATGTATCCGTCAGTCATCCATCCATCCATCCAAGCATCCATCCATCCATCCATCCATCCAAGCATCCATCCATGCAACCATCCATCCATCCAAGCATGCATCCATCCATCCAAGCATCCATCCATGCAACCATCCAAGCATGCATCCATCCATCCATGCAACCATCCAAGCATGCATCCATCCATCCATCCATCCAAGCATGCATCATCCATCCATCGATCCATCCAAGCATGCATCCATCCATCCATCCATGCATCCATCCATCATGCAACCATCCATCCAACTATCCATTGCGTGCCTCTAAACAGAATTTATAGAACAATTCATATATGGTAGAAACAAAATTTGTGCCAAATCAAGTCATATAAATTGTCATATTGGTAAAGCTAAAGAGAAAATAAATGTTTTAGTCGTATTTCTTCATTATTTTAGATTTTCCTAAATAATTTCTGGTCATTCTAAAGCTGCGCTTGTATACTGTGGAGAGCTGGTTGACAAAAAGAACCAATTTATATTTGTCAACTAGTTTTGCAGTTGCCAGCCAAAATGTTCTGACATGAACATTATAAAATTTCACAAAACCTACATTGCAGCATCCTGAAAGCAATAAAAAGTTCATCAGATTTTGGTTTTAATGAAGAATCTGCTAACTTAAATTGATCAAAGGAAATTTGCCACCATTTATCAACAACAGTATGAACTATTCTGCGAAATTGTGGTCGATTTCTTCACTTTTTTCATACAGTATGCTTGGATCCCAATGATTGCTACTTGTGATTGTATTTGTTTCCATGTTACATTTGTTTTTGTTTGTTTTATTTATTGCAAATAGCTGTGGAAAGGTATTTGTTGGACTGTTTGCGGGTGTGTGTGTGTGTGTGTGTGTGTGTGTGTGTGTGTGTGTAAATCACGTTACCTCATTTCTCTCTCCAGCATCTGACGTGATGACAGCCACATGCAGTGTTGAGGAGTTTCAGTGTGCATATGGCCGCTGTATTCTGGACATCTACCACTGTGATGGAGATGACGACTGCGGGGACTGGTCTGATGAGTCGGACTGTTGTAAGGAACATTCGCTCTTTCTTACTCTCTCTTAAAACTTTTTTTTTTTTTTAAATGCCTCTTTTCTTTCTCTGCCTTACAATCATTAGAATTAATTCTCACCTTCCCTTGTGAAAAAGCACACTTTAGCATAATCATGGAAATAATATACTTTAAAAGAATATACTTGAGAGTGAACTGAATGCAGTGTTTTGGACACAGTGTTTTTGACTCACTTAAGTAGGACTTAAGTACATCTTTATGTGTAATTTCATAATTACTTCTGTTGTCTTTGAAATAGGGTTAAAGTACTGCTGAATATACTGACAAGCATTTGTGATAAAATGTCATGAATTAAAATATGTTTGTAATTAGACATTTGTAATTATGAAATTGCACTTCAGTACATCGAATAACACACTAGAGTTAAAATTATAATCAAGTATTGTATTGTAATATACAAGTGTATATTAATCAACACATCAAATAAGTGTACTTCTTTAAAGCATGACAAAAGATTATTAAAACACTGATTTAAAATGTACTTTAAAGTACAATTTTTACTTTACAATTGTTGCAAAGTGCATGGTTTAAGTGTAATTAAGTATGCTAGGATTGAAAATGTCTCTAAATACACTTAAAAAGTGGCTTTTTATTTCATTAATATTATATTATCTGCAAATGCAGTACTTCAAAAATTGAGTGTGTATTTTTAAAGTATTCTACAACTGCACATTCATTACAGTCAACTTATTTTACACAAGCGGTTTCATTTAAAATATTTTAGCAAAAAACAGTTATCATTACTGTAAATCTGTAATTTTTTGACATTGGCATACTAGTTTATTGTTGGAATTGTTTTTTATTAAAAGTACTGTAAGGTATTTGATTATAATTTTAGCTGTAGTGTGTTATTCAATATTACATTTAAAGTTAATATATTTAAATGTACTAAATTGCAACTTCATTACAAATGTGTACTTTGTGTATACTCAAGTACAACTTAAGTGGGATTTAATATAAATTTAATCTATAATTCATTTTCATTTAATTGCAATTAACACACAATTAAGTGTCTGAAAACATTACATTCAATTTACACTTAGATATATTCTTTAAAAAGTACAGTATATAATATTTCCATAAGTACTATTCTTAAAAGTATGCTAAAGTGTGCTTCTTATCACAAGGGTTATTCAAGAAGATTTCCTAGTACAGATAAGTTTCATGAGTGTGTGTGTATGTCTGATTTGGTGTGTGTGTGTGTGTGTGTGTGTGTGTGTGTGTGTGTGAACGCAGCCTCCCAACAGCCCTGCCGTTCTGCAGAGTTCATGTGCAGCAGTGGCATGTGTATCAATGCAGGCTGGAGGTGTGACGGAGAATACGACTGCGACGACCAATCAGATGAAAAGAACTGCAGTGAGTAGCTGTTTTATTGTAGTATTTGTGTGTGCGAGTGGATTTCACATCTGTCAAACGCCTCTTTCTCACCGTCAGGTACATCGATGTGCATGGCTGATCAGTTTCGCTGTACGTCTGGTCGATGTGTGCGGTTGTCATGGCGCTGTGATGGGGAGGATGACTGCTCTGATAACAGTGATGAAGACGGCTGTGAAAAGACTGGTAAGGAATATAAAAGACAATACATACTTTTTTTTTATCTCTTAAAGCAATAGTTCACCCAAAAATGAAAACTTGCTGTAAATTTACTCACCCTTGAGCCGTCCAAGATGTAGATGAGTTTATTTCTTCATCATATTTGGAGAAATGTAGCATTGCATCAGTGTCTCAGCAATGGATGCTCTGCAGTGAATGGGTGCCGTCAGAATGAGAGTCCAAACAGCTGATAAAAACATCACAATAATCCACAAGTAATCCACACCACTCCAGTCCATCAGTTAATGTCTTGTGAAGAGAAAAGCTGCGTGTTTGTAAGAAACAAATCCATCAAGA